TACTATGATTATTATTAGTGCCATTACTATCATTATTAGTATCCTTATCATTCTCACTGTCATTATCATTATTATTTTCATTATCATTATCATCATTATTATTGATATTTTTATCATTAGCATTATTGTTATTGTCACTATTATTATTATTATTATTATTATTATTATTATCATTATCATCATTAGTGTTGTTGTAGTTGTTATTGTTATTATTATTATTATTATTATTATTACCACTATCATCAGCAGCATTATCATTATCATTGTCATTGTTATGATTATCATCATTATTTTTCATCGCCATCACCCTCGTCTTTTTTTATCGTCATCATCATTATCATTATAAATGCTCTTATCATTATAAGTATAAAAAAAAATGTCGGAATTAGGCTTGGCGGGTTTCCCGTGAGCCAAAGAGAGTTAGATTCTTTAAATGAACCGGATCAGCACCCGGATCCATGTATGTATGTATGTATGTGTGTGTGTGTGTGCATACAAACCCTGTGTGTTTATGTGCAAGTATACACGAACATACACATGACCACATACACACACGCACACATCCGAATCCCTAATACTCTCGCTGCAATCCGTCTCTAAATATCGACGTTCCAGAGCCCCGTTGAATGGGCCTGTTTGAGATATTCGGATATTAAAGTGATGTCAGTGGAAGTCCGATTAATTGGTATTTGATTAGGCTTTCAGTGATTGCCAGACGCTCTGATGGCGGTGCGGAGATTGGCTAATCATCACCGCATTGGGCGGAAGAGAAATTTGATTTTTTTTTTTTTTTATAGTTGGGGGTAAATTTGTTCAGAGTGGAAAATGGATTTTAGAATACGGACACCCGTTTTCTCTGACTAAAATCAACTTGTATGTTTACTGTTTTTTATTTCCTTTCTTTTTCTGATTTGTTTTGTTTGTTTGTTTGTTTTGTTTTCTCTAATAATAATCCATCATATTTTTTAATATATTTTAGTTTTATATATCGTAATATAACCTTCTCCTCTTTTTTTATTAAGACTTCCTATATCTTCTCTATATTGATAGCCACAGTTCCTTTACCTTTTGCCACCACGCCCGCCCTTGTAGCCCCCCCCTCCCCCCCATCACACGCCTTCAAATAAAAAAAGAGTTAAAAACCATCTTTGGATCAAGAAAAATGTCTTATAATATCTCTGTTTTAGCCTTTTTACTGAACGAAGAATTTTTACCTTCAAACCACACTCGCGTATAGCCCAACGCATAACGAGAATTCAAAATAACAACAACAACAGTAACAATAAATAACAACAAGAACTCAAAATATCTACATAAATCCCAACATAATTTCTCGTGGATCGCGACCTCACTCCCTTTCCCCTTACAAACAACACACGCCAAGGTAAGAACTTTTTGCTCTAACCTGTATCGCATTAACGAATCCACGTTCTTTGCCACCCGTATTATAAAGCTTGCACCCTACCCCCCCCCACACCCCCCCACCCCAACCCCTTCCATCCTCCTAAAAGTAATTTACATTAAAAAAAAAAAAAAAAAAAAAAAAAAACATTATTGAAACTAATCTAAACAATTCCCTCCTTGCAAACTTTCGACAAAGATATGTTATCGTCATTATCACTAAGCTCCCTACTGAACGGAGAACTCTGGAAGACTGTTCATAAAGACTATTCCGAAAAAGTTTGATAATGATAAAGATTATTGATTGTGATAGAGATAATAATTATTGAATACATGCGTGATGAATAAAGATAATGAGATGTGACTATTATGGTTATGATAGTGATAATAGTGAAATAATGAAAATATGATATTGGTAATAATGATGATGTTGATGATGATAAAGTTGGTATTAATATTAATTATAATGAAAATTACAATAATTATAGTAATGATAGTGAAACAATAAAAAAAATGTATTGGTAAATGATATAACGATGCTCACCGTGAATATGGTAATGATAATGATACTACTACTACTACTACTACTAATAATAATAATAATAATATAAAAATAATAATAGCCATAATAACGATAATGATCATAATGATAATGATAGCGATAATAATTGTATAAATAATAAAATAATAACCATGATGATAATTATTATTATTAAAAAAATATATGTCCATAACAACAGCAACTAACAGTAATAATAACAAAAACAACAATAATAATAAACATGGAAATAAGAACCTGTAAAATTTCGCTTTTTTTAATTCCTTTAAAAATCACAAACTAAACTAAACTAAAGTAAAGTAAACTATAACAAAAGAGAGAGAGAGAAAGAAAAAAAAAACCTTTACTCTCAGTGAGTACTTACCATCAGGTCATCCAGGTCAATGCAGGTCGTGTAGTTGGACCAAGTGCGGTTGTTATCCGGGTGTTTGAACCATGTCCCGTCTTCGTTGCAAACCTTATGTGCCTGACCTGAAAGGAGAAAGAGGAAGAGAGGGAGACGATGATAATGGTTATCGTGTTGTGGGGCGGCTACACGAG